CACTTGTAGGGCACCCCCCTCTAAGCTCAAGGCGACTTGAAGCGCTGTCTCCTCTGGGGACCAGCCACCCAGTTCGGCAGCCATCTCAACCTGGAGAAGGTAACCATCCAGTGCTGTCTGCCCGTTATAACGCGGGAGCTTGGGTAAAGTTGGAAGGTGACGCCGTTGGGGAACCTCCTCCCAAGTAATCCTCTCCTCCGACTCTTGCCTTCCGATGGTAGGTGGGGAAGCAGGGACACGGGCACCTAGCAGCCTCAACAAAGGCCGCCCACGGACAGCGCTCGCTCCGTCTGTTCGGCTGCTGCTGGCTCGAGTGTTCCCCGCGCTTTGCTCCTCCGTGCTCCATTCCTCCGCCTGCCTTGACAAAGGCAATTTGCTGCTTCTTTTCCATCTTTCCGAGCCAGGCTGCTCCTCTGTGAAAGCGAGTTCTTCTTCCAGTTTGGCTAGCAGCCGTTCAATGTTCTGTAACGATGTCATTTTCAGCTATCCCACTTCTGACACCAATGTAACCTCCGTTGAAGGCTCAATGAAGACACACACGGAGTCGGATAGCCAGAACATTCACACTTTTAATGGCGGAACACACAGGTCTTTTCATTCGGACAGATGGCCTTTTCGCTCACGGTTCGGCCCTCTTCTCTGCCGCTAAGCCTCATGGGAAAAACACATAACAACATAACAGTACCCTTTAACTGCTACAATATTGACCGAACTCAAACGATGGTGGGAGGCTAATGCTAGCATGCTAGCTCCCGAACAAACAAAAAACTCACCAGTTCCCACTTCAAACCGTGTGATCGCTAGAACGTTTGACTCAACAATCGCACGTCTGTAGGTAAAAAGACATACAAGTGGTGGTGCTGTGGTGGCGCAGGGGCCAAGCACAACCCATATATCGAGGCCTTAGTCCTCATGCCGGTGGTCGCAGGTTCGATTCCCGGCCTGGCGATATTTGCCGCATGTCTTCCTCCTCTCTTTCCTGTCAAACTACTTTCTAAAAGCCAACAAAACCTTAAAAAAAAGGCATACGAGTGAATGATGGTACAATAAACATTTGATAAAGGCTTTGACAACAACGCTGTCAGACGTCTGACATGTGACTTTAAAACCACGCGAGAACAGAGTGTTTCATTCTCTCTTGGTTTATTTTGTGCTGAATAAATTAAGGAAAAGAGGATTTTAATTTTTAAATAAATCTTCAAATAAAAATAGGTATATTTTTACAAAGGGAAACTGTTTTGGTTGCCTGAGCTTTATAGGTTTTTCAGATTTCTGTGCTGAGGTAAACTTCAGAAATCAAGCAGCGACAGCATGAGGGAACGCGCAGAGGCATCAGTGCTGTGATTGGTCCGCGTGCCCAGCTTTGTGGCCTGTTAAATGCATCAACTATAAACCATCTTTTAGGAATAAAAATATGGCGCAACAGAGACTCTTACAGTCCGACTCATTTTTAAAAAAATTAATAAAATAATAATTATTTTATTTATTATATATATATATATTTTTTTTTTTTTCAAAAAACAAAAACAAACAACGCTTAGCCTGGTGGGGGGGCAAGTATAGCTTGACTGGCCACCATGCGTATAATACACTTGGGAAACCCTGCAGTTACTGTATGTTAAGCGTGAGTCCCAGTCAATTCATCCTTAGTTTGTGAAACTACATTGAGTTTTTCCCACTCAAGTCTAATGGTGCATTCACATCATCCCTGTTTAGTCTACTTTTACTTGAACTCTAGTCAAAGTAGACTACGAACTGGACTTTCTGGATCAAGAAAGTCCAATTTGAATGGGAAGTTGTGAATGTGTAATTTAACTTTGAGTTTCATTTTTTGGCCCAAAAATGAAACTCTGGTTAGGTCTCTGTTTGGCTGAAGTGAACTCTGGTGGGGTTCAAATGCATTTTTGAAAGCCAAGTAGACTGACTGTAAGGGATGGGTAAATACAACTAAAGCAAACGTGTGTCGTGCGCTAAAAGGAGCAATGGTTTGTGCTCTTTAGCTGAAAACAAAAGAGAAATCCTACAACTGCTAAAATCTGACACAACTCCCTTACTTTAAGCTATTTTGGGAGGGAGTTGCACTATGTGTCTTGTTCAGAGGTTTTTGTGTAATTTCCCCTAGTGGTTTTTGGTGCAGCAACATCACAGGTAAGTGGATAAACATGTTTTTCAAAGCTTTTTGTTTGTTTGACACAGTGCAGTGTAAAGAAAATGCACCAGCTGAAATGTAACAAGTCTGCCGGACTACTAGGTGTGAAAACACTAAGTTACAAACTCAAGTTCCCATTTCTGAAACTATGACCGAGTAGGATCATAACATTTTCCTTTAAGAACAAAAAACATTCAAAAGCTGCATAAAAATAATGACAATTATCCTTTCTGTTTTTTGACCAAGGCTCAGCACTGAGGTATATGAAAGGCATGTGACCAGTTTTGACATCCACAAGAAATTTATGTTTACCTTTTAATATGCATGATGTATTTGTACAGATTCCTTTTGGGTTTTTCCTAATCTCACTGCATGAACAAATGTGACATTTTTGTTTTCTTGCAGCTCATCACAAAGTATATATGAAGAAGTGACAGACCTGGTACATGTTGGGAGTTACAAGCAAGTAAGTCCTTTCTTCACTTTGTACCGCACCTCTCCCTACAACCTCCGTTCCCACGTGATAGACCCTGTGTACAAAGGGGGGCCTAAGTTGTGTGCCCAGGTCACCCCACTTCCTAAATCCACTTTTGAACCATGTGAAGATGAAGGAGCTGTTGACAGTGAAGGGGCAGAGGGGGGCGAGGAGTGGAGTTTGGAGTGTCTACGAACTACTCTTACAGGAGACATCACAGATTACCTATCCCCATCAGCGCTGCGAGAGACTTTCAACAGCTCACGAACTGGTGTTTGTGAAGACCGACCGCTGTCCATGACTGATTTTGGTGACAGCTTGTTTGAGTATGAGCAAGCTGAACAGGACTTTAAAAAACTTTCTATGGAACTCACAAAACCTAATGAGGCTTCTGAAAAAGGATCAGCAACACAAGAAACTAAGAGTGAACAGCTTGCTTTGCCCACATCAGGGTTCACAGTCAGGACAGAATGCACGCGTTCCAAGCAAATGGCCACAGTAAGTGTGGATGAAGTGTCACCCCAACTTTATAAAGTCCTGTATGGGTATGGTGTTGAATCCATGGATTCAGAGGCTCAGGATCTCTCTGTAATAGCTGAGAATTCACCCCTTCAAGCAGTCAGAAAAGATGAAGTTCAGGCAACTCATAGCCTCACAAAGGGTAGCATAGAATTAGAGAGAGAACATTTTCACTCAGTAGATTTTGTTTCAGGCATATCCAGGGTTGAGTATAGCTTTGAAAAAGCAAAGTCACTCAGAGCACCATCTCTACCTGAGTATGAATCAATGCCTGGAATAATTTCTGACCTTCAAAGCTCACCTGAGTGTTCTCCAGATACTGTAATACTCCTAAGCGAGTCCAGGGCCTCCTCACCCGAGTCCGTCTCATCGGTAAATGAGCTGAATTTACTTTCCCCAGATTCTCCAGTGCCACAGTTTAGACCCTTATCCCCACTTCCACCACCTCTCTTATCATGGGAACTTGGAGAGGATGGGACTGCAGCCCCAAGGTCAAACCATACTCCTTTGCTCTTAACATCGGATGCAGAAGAAAGACCATTAAGACCAATGGTTTCAAACAGAAGACCAATCAGAAGTGCAGTATCATCAGTCAGTGTCTATAGTGGTGAGCAGTCCATGTCACCGCATTCATTAACTTTTAACATGGAGGACAGAGCATCGTCTCCTGAGTCCATTATTTCTGAAACTGTATATTCACTTTTTGAACCTGATTATTATGGTTTCCATAAGGTCACCTCATTATCTCCACCAGACTCTCCTGCCCAACATTTTAGACAATCTCCTTTTCAGTATGATGGTATGTCATCTTCACCAGAGTCAGAAAACTGGCCTGATCCAGTTTTTCTTGGAGACCACAGTTCCAGATTATCCGGCCCTGGTACAGAAACCAGCTCAATGTCTTCAGTGCTGTTTCATCATAAAGACCAAGCTTTATCACCTTCTCTTGTTACATCTGGAGATGAATCTGTGTCAGCAGAATTATCAGAGATGTACACAGCTTCCTCCATTAAACCAGCAAATATAACTTTGGCTTCCAAAACTGGTGATCACCTGCTAAAATCATTGTTATGTGATGCACAGAAAAATCAACAATCACTAACAAAGTTGCAATGTGAAAATGATGATGACTGGGTTATTTCTCTGCATAATGTTGAAGAGAGATCTGTTTCTTCAGATTCAGTGCTTGAATACAGGCCGATGTCACCACTGTCCACACTGTTAGACATTAGAAGGCATTCTCCTGAATCAGACACAGTTGATGAGTGTCTGTACCCAGATTTTCCAATACCACAGTATATGTCCTCTGCACATCATGCAGTTCTAGGAAATTATTACGCATCCTCAACAGAATCTGTATTGTCAGTTGTTGAGTACAAAGCCATGCCTTTGTTGTCATGTTTTGAGGATACGCCACTATCTCCTGAATCTTGTGGCTCTGAGACTGATTATAGATTATTGACTTCTCCTGAAACAGATCAAATTCTTCACAAAGAGTTTGCACTTGAATTTGCACAAACTGTTATTCCAAAAGAATCGGGTCTTGGTAAATTTGAAACAACACAAAGAACAGAGACGGAAGAAAGGTCGGCCAGACTAGTACAACAAAAATCATCCCAAACAGAGTCGCTACAAGCTGACGGTACAGAGTCAGACCAAAACATTGCTCCACCCCTGGAAAAAACAAAGCTTCTGTCAACTGATGGCAGTAAAACACAACTATCTCCAGTTTATTCAGAGGCAAAAAAATCAAATGTGAATGTTAAATGTGTTACATCAGTTAGAATGAAAATGTTCGGTGAGACATCCTTACCGTCTTTGTCTCAACAACCTACATCTGAGGATCTTAAATGCTCATTACTATCAACTTCAGACACACTTGAAGAGTTTTCAGCTTTCTGGCCTGCAGTCAAAACAGAAGAGCCTCCATTAGGCTACAGTTTAGCTTATGATGCAGAGCCTTCCAGGATAATTTCTCAAATCCATGATCCTCAGTATTCAAGAGAAACATTTAGAAGCAAAGAAGGAAACCATCAATTTTATGACACATTGTTGGACTATAATCAGGAAAATTCAGAAGCTATTGATGATCAAACCAATTATTTGTCAGTAGAAATGTACAAAAGGTCATTATCACCTGACTCTGAAGCGCAATCCCAGCCATCGTCACCTGAATCGCTAATGCTGCAAGAAATGGTAAGGCCAGACTCTTTTCTGTCAGGCAGATCTGCAGGTAGTCACCAAGCCTTAACACTAGACTCCCCTATTCCTCAGTTCCAGACCTCCTTCACAGATGCTTCAATACATGGTGTCAGATCAGGGTCACCAGAATCAAGTTTGTCAGATCTGGAAATAGAATTAGGTTTAAACATTTTATTTTTTGAGGACAGACCATCATCTCCTGATTCAGTATCATCTGTCAGTGCAAATAAGACACGATCAATCGACTCTCCTGTTCCCAGTTTTGAAATGTTGTCAGAATATTTTATAAGAGAGATATCTGACCGATCTTCATTAAATGATTCTGTCTACTCAGCTGATGAGTATGGATGTGTCTCTTTGGCAACAATACCCTTTGAGAACAGACCCCCATCTTTGAATTCTGTTGATGAAAACGAACCTCATTCACATGAATCTCCTGTACCGGAGTTTGGACAAAGCTCATTAGAAACTCATTTAACACTATGGGAGAGATCCTTTTCACCTGTTTCATTGTGTTCAGATGCAGAGTACAGTTTTGCGTCAATGGAATCATTATATGGTGAAAGGTGGCCTTCATCTGTAGATTCTGTTGACAGAAACTATCCTCTCTCAACAGAATCCCCCATTCCTGAGTTTAGCCTATTTTTAACAGACCTCCATCCTCAAACCACCCTGCAGGGATCTGTGTTTACTGTTTCAAGTTCCTCAGACATGCATTATGGGTCTGCTTCTCTGGAATCATTATTTGCTGAGAGCCGACCTCCATCCATATGTTCCTTTGAGGAAGATAGGTCACTTTCAGCTGAGTCACCCATACCAAAGTTTGAACGAGTTGTGCAAGACTATGATCTGTCTGCACAAGGTAGATATTCTTCACCTGTTTCTGTTACCTCAGATATAGAGTATGGCTGTGTCTCTTTAGAATTGCTATTCGATGCCAGTAGATCTTCTTCAGTAGATTCTGTTAATGAAACATACCTCTTGTTACCAGAATCCCCTATCCCAGAGTTTAGCCAGGTTTTACTGGACCCCCATGTTTCAACCACTCTGGATGGATGCCTGTCTCCTGTTTCAGTGGCTTCAGACATGCAGTCTCGACCTGTCTCTTTGGAATCATTATTTGGTGAGAGCCGACCTCCATCTATCGATTCCATGGATGAACACGGGCCACTTTCACATGAGTCACCCATTGCAGAGTTCGGAGAAATTCTTGTAGAATCTGATCTGGCTTCACTTGAAGGGCATTCATCGCCTGTTTCTGCTATGTCAGATATTGAATTTGGGTTTGTGTCTATAACATCAGCATTTAATGAGAGCAGACAGTCTGTTATAGATTCTGCTAAGAAAAGCTGTCCTGCTTCACTAGACTCATGCATTCCAGAGTTTGAACACACTTTAGTAAAAGTTAATATGAACACACAACAGAGATCCTTATTACCCAGTTCAGTTCTTTCAGATCTAGACTGTGTGATGTCAGATATTGAATATGCAGAATCAGATGTAGACTTATCTATTTCAGAACAGAGACCTGACTCATCAGAATCACAAGCATCTGAGACCATGGTGATAGTACAGACCAATACTTCTACTTCTTTAAAGGAAATCAGGGTACCAGTCTACAGACTTGTTTTTGATGCAGAACTTTGGAAGCTTATCTCTCAAGTACGAGATCCTCAGTACAGTGGGGAGACATTCTTTAGTAAAACAGGAGTTTTTGAATATGTTGGCACCAGAACTGAGTATTTTCCAGAATCCCCTGTAGTAAGAACAAGCGAGTTGGAGGATAATATAAGGTCAGGCGATGCAGAATTAGAATCCAGATCTTTGTCTCTTTTGGAAATGACTACAAGTGCTAAAACATCGGATTCCAACTTGTGTCTAGATTCTCAAGGTCCCATATTTTCCTTTCAACACCTCAACATTTCTCAGTCTCTGCTAGATTCACCAGCATCAACTGTGTCAGATGAAGGTTCAGAATATTGCATGCTCACAACTTTCAGTGAAAGCACACATCATTCAATGACTTCAGCAATATCTGTTGATTACAGGAGTGCAATATCACATGATTCACCCTTCCCAGATTTCAGGCCTGCAGTATCAGAGTCAATTACAGCTTATTCAGTAATACCAGAAGGTGAATGTCAGACCTCGTTACTTGATTCAACTGTAAGTCAGTTCAAAGCAGAAGAAACTGAACGTTTTCCCTCATTTGTTGGATTCAGGTCAGAATCTCCTCCTTCACACTTGGAGTGTGCTCCTCTAATAAGTATATCGAGGCAAACTGAAAGCATACCAGATGCATTTGAGTCAGAAGCCAAGCTTCAAAGGAGACCTTTGTCATCTGATTCTGAGTCAGAGTGTAGGTCTATATCACCTGTGTCTCTGACTTTCATTTTCAAATCAACATTCCCTGAATCTGTTGGTTCTCCAAATGAATTCAGAGTGCTCTCCCCAGATTCTCCAATTCCAGAGTTTAGGAAAGCACTACAGGAATCCATAAATAGATGCTGTGAGCTTAGATCTTCTTCCCCAGAGACAGTGTCATCAGATTTGGAGGTGGAAATGAATTGGGGGGTGACGTGGTGTGAGGAACAGTGTCTATCTCCTGACTCTGTAGCCTTAGGTAGTGAATACAAAAATCTTCCAGCTGATTCTCCAGTACCTGACTTTAGACAACTTTTCTCAGTTGCTCATGTTGATTACAGTTGTTACAGGGCATCATCACCTGAATCCAATCATTCAGATTTGGATTTTGCTCCTTTCATTTCTCAGCTGTTTGAAGATGAAGTTAAAGAAAGACCAAATTCCCCAGAGTCAAATCTGTCTTTGCATGAATACCAACATTTATTCCCAGACTCACCAATACATCAATACACACACACAGAGGAAAACACATTAATATGTGGCTCTGCATCTCCTGTGTATTCAGATGAGGAGTTAGAGATAGAGTTTTGTAAGTCCTGGCTTATTGAGGATAGAGGAGCATCTTCTGGTTCACCATTTGAATCTGAATTCAGACCAGACTCCCCCATTCCTGATTTTACTCAGGTGCTACAAGAGTCCTCCAATTCACACTTAGCTTTAAGTTTTTCATCCCTAACCTCACTATCTTCAAATGAAGAAACCAATTTAGAATTGGACATATCTGTGCCTTGTCTTTTTGAAGGCCGAGCAGTAACTCCTGGTTCTTCAATATCACAAGACGAATTGAGGCCAGACTCGCCCATTCCTGAATTTACACGTAATCGTGCTGAAATATGTCACATGAATGTAATGTTTTCATCTTCTGAGTCATTGGCTTCAGACAAAAATTTGGAGATTGATTTGTGTACAACTTGGCTTTTTGAAGACAGAGCGACATCTCCTGGTTCAACAACATCCAAAGAAGAGTTTGATGCTCTTTCATCAGATTCTCCCATTTTCACACTTACTCAAATACCAGAAAAATCCATAGTTTCACTCTTTGTTTCAAGGTCTACTTCACCAGAATCAGTGTATTCAGATTTGGAAATGGAATTATCTTCCTCTCTGATGATAGATGATTGCCCCCTATCACCTCTATCCCTAACACCTCAAAGTCAATATGGATTGCTTTCTCCAGATTCACCTGTTCCTGACTTTACTTTTCTGGACTTTTCTGACAGTCATCATAAGAGAAGTTACAACAGGTCATCATCAATTGAATCAGAGGCTTCAGAAGTTGAATATGCCCCTTTAATTTCACAGACTTTAGATTTTGAGGACAGTGTAGAATACTTCCCATCAGGACAGTCAGATGATGAGCTTGGATGTTTGTCTCCCAACTCTCCTTTACCTCTGTACCCCATAGCCTTATCTTCCAATGTAATGGTCAGATACAGGTCCACTTCTCCTGAGTTTGAGTTCTTGGAGGAAGATGTGGAGACTGATTTGTGTATGACTTGGTGTTTTGGAGTCCGAGCAGAATCTCCTTGTTCAAGAATATCCAAAGAAGAGCTGAGACCACTTTCGCCAGATTCACCTATTCCCATATTTAGGCAACAGGACTCCATAATACCTAACTTGGAACTAAGGTCCACGTCACCTGAATCAGTGTTTTCAGATTTAGAAATGCCGTCAGAGTTTCCAAGCTTAACTGAAAGTAGATCTTCTTCCCCAGAATCTTTAACATCAATCAGGCTTTCACCTGATTCTCCTCTACATGACCTGGTGCAGCCAGTGTTTGAACTACCCAAGGCAATTTTTAGAAGTAGGTCGATATCCCCTGAGTCAACTTGTTCAGAGGTTGAATATATTGTTTTAAGCCTGGGGTCATTATTGTATGACAACAGACAATCTTCTCCAAGTTCAGGAGGTGTTTCATCTGGTGATGAAAACCGGGCACAGTCTCCAGACTTGATAAGATCTGATTACAAAGAAGCAGTGCGAGAACATGTTATAGTAAATGTTGGCTATAGATCACCGTCCCCTGAGTCTGTTGACTCAGATGTTGAGTATGCTTTAGGTGAACTTTTGATAACAATGGGATTTGGTGTTGAACATAGGAAAGATTCTCTTCTGTCGATAGAGTCACAGATTCAAGACAGGTCATTTTCAACTGAGTCCATACCAGAATTCAAATCCATGTCACCTGGTGAATTGATGTCACTTACAAGCAATAGAAGTGAATCTCCAGAGTCAATTGAGGAAAACACAAGATTATCACCAGACTCACCGCTTCCTTCTTTTACTCAGAATGTACTTGAGACTGTAATACAGGAAACATACACTAGGGCTTCATCCCCCGAGTCTCTGCTGTCAGATACTGAATATTACTTGGTATATTATTCATTTGACAAAGGGCTTGAAGACAAAAGAACAGTGTCACCTCAGTCAGAAAGGTCAGATATTGAATATCCTCCTGAATCTCCAGTATCTGATTTTACTCAGACATTTGTGGAATCTGCTGTGATTGTAACAAGCTATCCATCAATAGAATTTTCATATTCTGATGAAATGTCACAGTTATCAATACCATTTTATGCAGAAGCGAGGACATATTCACCAGAATCATTGGAGTCAGAGAAAGAAGAGCATTTAGCACCCAAATCATCACTGGTTGAAACCAGTGATTGCACTGTTTCAAAAACATCAGTTGAGCCTTTCCCACCTGCCACTGTACCTCAGTACAGTCTTGTTTATGACGCTGAGCTATGGAAGTTGATTTCTCAGGTACGAGATCCTCAGTATGCAGGAGAAACCTTTAGTAGTAAAACAGCTTTCATGCAGTTTATTCGTAACAAAGATACACGTGAAAGGAATGTTACAAATAATCAACAGGACAATAGAATAAAAAACAAAAATGACAAAGATCGATCATCTTTATTAAAACATTCAGAAGTTACTCATCAGTTCTCTGCTACAGAAACAAAAAGAGCAATGAACAACACACAACTGACAGAATCACCACGTCCAATGATTGAACACATTTTATCAGGAACAGCTCTTTACAAGCAGCTAGAGCTTGAATCATCAGAGACACAGTTGTGGTATAATCCTTTGCTATCTACCTCAGTATCTGACAAAGAGAGCAATAATCTCTACAGATCTCCAGAATGTCTCAGTCCAAATTTACCGGAGGTGGAAGACACTAGAGTATCACCCGAATCTGCAAAATCTGTCAGTGAATTTGGGCCCCTCTCACCAGATGCCACATTACCAGAACAGAGGTTGGCATTGTCCGAATGTGTCAAGTATCTCAGAACTACATCATCTCCTAAATCTAAAGCTTCAGATCTTGATTTATTGCAACTGAATCCAGACTTTTTAGAATTCAGGCCTTCATCTCCAGAATTTGCTCTGTCTGAGAATCAGGATGAGAGTCAGAGGCCTTTGTCATCTCAGTCACTGCCTGAGTACAGACCTGTGTCTTTCCAGTTAGCCATGTCTGACCAAAGAGCATCAACTCCAGAAACCGTTTCAGAATGGGTTCAGAATAGGTCACTTTCTCCAGACTCTCCCATCCCTCAGTTTGCTCCGATACCGCAGGTTTACCCTGTGAGGCATTTCATCTTAAGCTCCTCCTCAGATTCTGAATCCAGTGATTCTGCTGATATGTCAGATGGAAACACTAGCCGACCCTCCTCACCTGAATCCATTTCATCCATCAATGAGTTCAGTTGGTTATTGCCTGATTCGCCAGTTCCTGAATTTATGAGAATTGTATCTTCTTATTTTATGGATCCTACTTCCTATGATAGATCACCCTCACCTGTGTCTTTGTCATCAGACTCTGAGTTTGTAGCCTTACCCGTTGAATGTTGGACTGATGATAACCCCAGACCTCTGAGCCCTGCAAGCCTTGAATCTGAGAAGACATTTTGTTTTGATGATGAGGTCAGTTCAGAGGTTTCACCCCACATGAGTGATGATGTGTCATCATCACTCATTAAATCTGCTAAAGAACATTGCCCTCATCTGCAACAAATGACAGAATCCAAGTCAAAATTCTGGATATGCAAAGAAGAAATTTTCCACAGATCAAAAGCAGATGAAGATGCCAGAGAATACTTGTCTCCAAAGCCATCAACAGCTAAAGATGCAAAACAAAAGGAAACAAAGACCCAACAAAAAAGTGGTGAAGAACTACAGGGCAAACCAGGCCATCATAGGGTAAGACATAGAGCATGAGAATGAACCAATAACCTTTTGATAACTCAAAAACAACACACTGCTTTTAACTCAGGACATGCCAGGCTAACGCTTTAGGAACAGGGGCCTTTGATACTTTGAAGGAGTTTTGGATCTTTTTTGGGTTGCTAATATTACTAACCACTTCCTATTTTCCTCTGGTTCATTTTTGTTTGATGATGAAATACTGCAACATTTTCTTACACTAGCATAACCAAGTCCAGGTCTGGAGAACTAATATTCTTTAACTTAAATAAATCCCCTCTCCATCACACCTGAACCAAATGACTGAATTGCCATTTGGTTCAGTAATGACTCTTTCCTTTGCTTCAGATGTGTTAGAGAAGGGATGTATCTAAAGGTTGCAAGTCCTCAAGGACTGGACTTGGGCCCCCCTGGCTTAGATATACATTATATAGGTCTAACTGACTGATGGGTGATGGAAACAATACAAGTTTAATTTAAATTGTGCAGTGGCACTAATGAGTTAAAAGGCTCATGTCTTTCAGAGGTTCACATAACCTCTGTGCAGATGTAATAAACTTACATAAATAATTTCATTCCAGGTTCCCCCAGACTTTCGAACATTTGATACCCAGAGCAACCAGTTTCCTGTCACAGCAGCAACAAATGGTGGCAGTAAAACTACAGAGCTGTTCTTTGATGATAAGCCAATCACATCAGATCCCATACTCCCACCTGACCAGACTTCATACAACACACACCGAACTGTTCCTCCTGTACTGTCTGTTCTTGAGAAAGCTTCAAGTTTAAAGTCCCATGTGTCCAGACAGAATCCAGACACATGTGACTTTATGCAAGTTCAGTCCAATGAACCTTTTTCACCCAAGTCAGATGAGTTTTTGCTACCAACTGATTATAAGACAATATTTTCAAGTCAACAAGCCTTGGGAGTTTCTGAATGTGGCCAAGCATTCTCCGATGATTTGAGTCCAGTGTCTCCGGTGTTTAGTGGTCCCAGCTCAGCACAATTTGCCTCTCAAGATACCGTCAGCGAAGAGTCAGAAGTCACCAAAGACTTTACATTTTCTCTAGGCTTTAGGAGAGTCCTCTCTGAATTCGAGAGAACAGCATCAGAATTTGAACCAAACACTACAACCAACCGACAAAAGATATCAAGTGAGGTTGCCAAGTCTCCACATCCATCAGATTCAGAGCTAGAATTCTTTGACTGCCAACAAGACTTTTTTGAACCAGAAGATGTGATGCCAGAAGATGAGATAACTTATTATTCTGAGCACTCTCCAATAAACCCAAGAAGTAGTTCAGATATGGGCCTACTGAAAGTCCACCCTGAGCACACCACTCAACGTTTTCTTCAAGTAGAACCTAAAAGGCAACTGTCTTCTGGCAGTGAAAGTCTTGGTGAATTTGCTTATGATTCAGATGTTTCACGGGAGTGTTCTGCAGAGAGTGGCTTTCCCATTTGTGAGCAGCTTCTATCTAGAGATCAAGCTGGGTATTACGATGATGATGACTTCCTGGGAATGGTAAGAGGATGAGCATGAGCACTGGTTTCTGACTTGCCTAGTTTCAGATTGCTGCTGCACACAAGATGTAGAAAAAAACCTAGATTGATTTTATGAAACTGATGTGCACAAGAGCATAAACTTAAAAGGCAAAGATGTTTCTGCTGTGAAGAAGTATTTGCAGTTGTTCACTTTGATGCACAGTTGAGATTAACAAGCTGCTCTGAAGAGTTCTACTACATGCACCACTGTTTGCATCAATTGGTGTGTGCGCATGTTGTTTCCCCCCTTAGTGTCAAAAATGAAAACACTGAATAGTTCATTTCTTTCTCCCATTTGACATTTCAATTCATCATCATGAGCAGTAGATAAGCTGGCTCTTATTGCTGCATGTTTGTTTTAGTTGAACATTGTTGCTTTATTGTGCCTTCTCTTCATCTCACATCACTTTTATGTACAGCATTTTGAATTTATTTCCCTTACAAGGACAGAAGAGTGTGAGGTTAAGAGAAAAGCCTAAGCATGGGTTGCCTGTAGCAGTTTGTTGTAGTACTACTGTAGAACACATGACATTCACCCATGCTGGTTGTGTGCTGTCTCCAGGAGATAGCAGAGGAGCTAGGAGCACTGTCCTCTGATAGCTCAGAGGAGGAGGTGCTGACCACCAGAGTGGTCCGACGCAGAATAATCATTCAGGTAACATAAAAGATGATGCAACAACACAAGGAGGTGGAGTGGGTGGTCGGGTTTTACAGGTTCTTAAAAGTTTTATATAGTGAAACTGAACTTTCAAGACAAAACATTTATTGTAACAATAACTAGTACAACATCCCTCTTAAGAAAAGCTTCTGTCTTTTAAAATCTAAAAATGTTTTCAGTGAGGGTAAGGTCACTGGAAACCATAAGCATACTCTCATAACTTTTCAGTTTAAAGAATAAACAGTTTTCCACTCACTAAAGAGATAATTAAAATGTAACGAGTGATGAGAGCTGATTACCAATAAAACCAAGGGTTTATTATCCACTATCAAATAACTGCTGAATAACTAAAGCAGATTAAAAAAAAATTCACTACCAAGAAAAAAAAATGAACACATGAACTATAATTTAAAGAAATATTATTGACCAGGAAATTAACCACCAAACTTGAGATCCAATTGCTGTTTTAACTTTCATAGAAACTGCATGAGTCTCACAGCCTTGCCTGAACCCAGGCAGGACAAGATCATCTTAGATAGACTGCCACCAATGGTATTCTGCAACTGATTTGTTTCTGCAGGCGGATATACTGCCAGACATTCCACCACAGACTGTGACTGAAGAGAAATACACTGATGAGCATGGCAACATGGTAGTGAAGAAGGTAAGAAATACAAGACAATAACAGAGGCTCCAAACAGTAGGGTGCCGACCCTCTCACCGTAATTGTCCATTTGCATTCATCATCACTAGATCACGCGGAAGGTGATTCGTAAATGTATGTCTCCGGATGGGTCAGAAACACAGGAAGTGAGCATTGATGGCTCCCACCAGGAGATGGTGAAGGTAGAGGAGGGAGATGCTGTGTCCAGAGTGGCAAAGAGAACTGTGCTTCACAGCAGGGGGGACCAGAAAGAGGTGGGTCCCATTTCCTGGGCATATATCTACAGTTGGAATAGGATCCTTACATACACCAAATAAAACAACGTTTTTTCTGAAATTAAATCAGATTAAACTTTGTGTTTAGGGTTTGTTCCAATGAACACATTGTTTTTTATTTGCTAATTACAGATCCACCCACAAATTATCTATCCACCTTATTCCTGGGAAGCTTACTGGGGAAACGATTATGGGTCTTACTTCCGGCGCCCACCGGAAGTAGCAGTATTTCACTGTAACTTTTTGGGTTTTTTGCTAATCTACATACATGATAGAAGTTACAGCTCTCTTTTCGGTTAAACTTGTTCACGGACACACCGTCTGCTATCAGAGAGCTGCTCAGTACAGAAGATCGTAATTGTGAGTTTAATCTCAGGGAGCGACAGAAACATGATCATTACATTTTGTAACAGAATGACTTAGCAGAGCTGCTAGCAGCTCGTTTCTCTGAAGAACTGACAGTAATAAAAAGAAAAGCAGAGAAGCTGGTCAGAGATCTGAGCTGCTATTAGCGCCAACGGTGTAAAACACCAGAACTACATATTAGCTTGGTGTGATATAAATTTTATTTTCGTCTGTATATAAAAAATAATAAAGTTCATGATCTGAGTCTTGTTAAGGAAGATTTTTCTGAATTAGTTAATTTTGGAAAAAGTTTGGCTGTTTCTCTCTTCCTTTATGATCCCGGGTCGTCTCATGACGGCCACGTGTTGGCACAGAGAAAAACAATGCGTATTGACGTCACAGAATTACAGCGTTTAATCAAATAGAAGACAACACATAAAATTACAACAGAACAACAGAGACATACCTGAGACAAAGAGGATAGTAAGAAAAAAGGCAAAGACGCGTCTTTGGAGAGTGCTGATGCAAAAAAAAGCTAAATAAGGCAGCAATCTGATTTGTTACTCCTGTGTACAAACTTTTATATTAAAGGCGTGTTTTCCCTCTTTAATATACTCAAATAAGGCGTACCTCTGTTTGACCAACTGGAAGCTATCTTGGACCCTCTTAAAAGTTAGAACCTCCTTACAATTTGCTTCCAAGATCAAAAGCCATTTTGTCCCCTTTGTTTAACAAAAGGAGAGGAGAGCTTGTCCTGAACTCCTGCGGTTTTAAGGCCATCTGGGCAAAGAAAAACATAAGAAAAGTATTTCATAGATAACTGTGAAATCTGGAGTCTCTCCCGCTCTTCTCCTTACATAGATTCTCAGGAACAAACTTAAATTCGGTAATTTAGTTCAGGGTTATCTCCACAAACCCAGTTTTGCTCTTCTGCACTCAGCACCTCAAAAGATTGAGTCCTGCCTTAAACTAAAAAGTGGTTCATACAATCAACAGAATAGAATGGAGTAAAATTCCTTTTTTAACCTATCCAATATAACATTCAATCCTAAGTATAAAAGTTAACACAATCATTTTCCAAAACCCCTTTCACCATAAACCTGAGCAATTTTCTAATACTAAGTAAAACATTTTCCATCACACCATTTCCATTTGAATCTGATATAGTCACAAATAATACAATTTTCAAATACATTCATCATTTACTAGATTAGTAATTCTAAATTAGATAATACAATTTTCATTAAAAAACATGCTATTAGTAACTAAGAAAAATGTCTTAGAAATTAAATGTTAGTGGTTTTAACATTTTATGTTGTATTCAGTTTTACACCATCCCAGATGTTAGTTTTGGAAGACTTTTGATCTTCCGTGAACCGAGCAAACTTCTCTCTCCTGCTCATCCAAGTGATACTGCCTCCCTGCAGATGCTAATTTTATGGCCTCCTGTCCCCTGATAACAACAGGAGCCTCAGTCAGAGTTCCCTTTTTGATCTCTATTTTCGTTTTGTACTTTGAATACTTACCCATCAATAGGTTAGTTTTTAAATCATTAACACAAACCTGTTCAATTTGATCAAAATGACTCAATATACCTTTTACACATGCCGGAAGATTAACTGTATTAAACACTAAAATAATCATTTTTCCTCAACAGTCTTTATCATTATGTTTGGGCCAGGAACATTTTTTATAAGAAAATAAAATATCTGAGCTCATTTAGTCCATCACAACCAGAATCTCAAGGTTCTCCTGCTGAGTGTCGCTGCAAATGAGTGGAGAAATGACCGCAGCTGCTGCGCTCGGTTCTGGTTCCCACTGGACCAGAACCGAACCGAATCCCACATTAACCTGTTATAGAGAGCAACCTGCCACTGGAAAGTGTCTGCCCTTTCAAAGCTTGGGTAGCCGTTGTTCTGTTCGTGGCTGTACTTCAATAATCAGACCAAGTTAAATTTGTGGCTGCAACAACAGGTGTGTCTTGAACGTGCTTCCAAAACAAAGGCAGTAGTTTTCATCACTTACTGACAGATAAGGAAACAAAAAGAATTTGGTTAAAAATTGTAAACTTGAAGAGAGAACCCAAAATGCTTTATGTGTGTTCATTTCACTGTGTGGATAGAAAGCCAAGGGAAGAAAACCCGCATCTGCAACTGAGTCAGTGAAGTAGCTAACTTTGCTAGTGTGGGTTATTTACGGCCATTTCTTCAAGTCACCATCCCTCCCCGCATTAGCTGTAGCTAGCGGTAAAATAATATTGCCACATGTAAGCTGTGATAGCTGGAGTTCCCACATATTTTCTAAGATAAAACCTCTGTGGATAGCCGGTTAGCGAGTTGCTAACATGTAAACAAATTGCGGTTCTGGTTAGCAGCGGAAGTCGCGCCCATAAATCACGCAAAGCCTCATGGGGTCTAGGAATAAGGTGGGTAGAATTGAGTGGTGCCAAAACATGGACTGTGTTTTAAGCCACTTTGGCTGGTTAGGGGGTTAGGGTTAGACAACAAGAGAAGACCCCTTGTTGTCTCATTGGGAGAGCCATTTGGACCCTTTGTCCTTAGATGTCTTTAGATGTTGATTCAGTATTTTTACATAATGGTCTTCCCATCATGATGACATCTATTTTATGAAGTACACCAGTTCCCCTGGGACAAAACAGGTCCACACCACGATGCTGCCACTCTCTTGAAAACAGACACACGTCTGTTTTTGTTAAGCAGACATGTGTCGACTGGTTCCTCTCTGGACTTTTATTTTGAGGAATCAAGGCGGATGGTCCATGCTCAAACAAAGACAATGACAATAAGAATCTGTAGCAAGACTTCAAAATTTCTCTTCACAGACACTCTCCATCCAATCTGACAGACTTTAAACTAAAGGATGTCCAATAATGTCAGTCTGTAGACCAGGGGTGTCAAACTCCAGTCCTCAAGGGCCGCTGTCCTGCAGTTTTTAGATGTGTTACAGGTACAAAACACTGGAATGAAATGGTTTAATTACCTCCTTCTTGTGTAGATCAGTCCCCCAGAGCCTTGCTAATGACCTAATTATTCTATTCAGGTGGTGCAGCAGAGGCACATCTAAAGGCTGCAGGGCAGTGGCCCTCCAGGACTGGAGTTTGACACCTGTGCTTTAGAAAGAAACCCTAAAAAGAGCTGCAGTCAAAGGTGTTTCTACAAAGTTTTGACTCAGGGGGGCTCAAAAAGAAAAGCACACAATGTTTCTTAGATTTTTACATAGGAAATTTACTGACAGTGAAGTTCCATTTTCGTTAAATTGTCATAATGGTGGCCAACCATTATGCATATAATGGTTGGTCACTATAGCCAACCATTATATGCATAATGGTTAGGGTTAGGGGAGGGACGGGGCAAGGAGAACCGAGGGATTTTATTGGATAAGCCCAATGTCCATCAATAAAATCAACCAGTGGGCCTTTGCGGTCGATAAAAATATTTAATATACTTAAAAAAAAAAAATTATGACACCCTAGGGCCGCCCCATATACAGACTGATGTCCATCAGTCTGCACTCCAGACGGCCAGTCCTCCCCTGGACAGAAGTTCAAACAGATGCAGTTTTTTTTCCTGTTCAAATTGTCAACCCGCCACAGTGGCGGTGCGTACGCGCCACTTCAGACTTTTACGTGGGTAAAAGTCTGAAGGCGCTGCAGGCTACTCTGAGCGCCTTCAGAGAAGCCACCATTTGGAGAGAAAGGGTTGTTAATTTCCACCCCTGGCTGTGTCCCTCGGAAATTCGATCTATTACTGTGTTTAACTATCACATGTTGAAGTTCCCCAACAGTTCTTGGTGTGTTTTTGTTCTGTCTCCAGCTGACCTTTTCCGAACCCCTGGCTCTGGGTGCCACCACAGTGTCAGAGTTTGAGGTGGAACCTATTCAGGGTCGAAAAGTCAGCAAAGTTGTCAAGACGACCGTAGTCAGGGGTGAGAGGATGGAGAAGCAGAGAGGAGACCCCTTGTTGTCTGCAGACCTCCCCTCAGCCCAGGAGGACTTTGAAAAGGTCAGCGTGTTCAGATGGAAAAGTTGAGATTCTGATCTGCTTGTTTTCTTATCTGTGCAAGGTGTGATGTTTTTCAGTTACCTTTTTGCTGAGCAGAAGTTTCTCTACCTGATGTGTCTCCTCTCCCTCACTCTTCCCCTCCAGGCATTGAGTTATGCTGGAGGTTTTGGCAAAGTGCTGCTGCCTCATGTGGTAGAGAAGGAGATGGTACAGGAGGACGGTTCTGTGGTTAAAAGGTTGGGCTATGAGCAATACTCTGAAGACAAGCTGTTAGCCACAGGCATGGTGTGACTTCCCCTTCATACCTTCAGTGCTTAAACTTTGCTTAATAAATGCAAAGAGTAAAGTTTTGGCTCTTGATCTTACCATTTGTTCCAGTTTTGAACTAACTGATCAGCAATAGCTCTTGGCTCAAGATACAAATTCTATGAAAAACTAAACTCACTTATAGGCACATTCTAAAGGTTTTGCTGTAAGTCTGCTGTTCTGTCAGAGCTTCTACCAAGGAGGTGTGTTACTGCATACTGGAGCAGTATTACATGTCACGAAATGTGTCCGATTTTGAAGAGAGCCGGACAACCATAATATTTAAATGTGGCAAGTGTGGTGAGTATTTGGTCTACTTGTTCAAGACAAATAATGGCAAATAATTCTGCTCCTCAAAGAAGGAAAACAGGGTTTGTTCCAAGCTTGGTTTGATCTGAGTGGAGAACTTCCCAAAGGAGCACTTAGCCGTCAGAGCCCTAAGATTGTTAGAAGCACCTTGTTGGTCAGCAAGGTACATTTTCTTTGAGATCCAGAAGACACTTGATGTTATGGGGTTGTTGTGGTTGACACGTATCTTCAGTGTTACAAGCAGGACTGCTATGATGGTCACAATTTGTAATAATCCCAAAGGAAAATAAATGTAATTCAAACTATTAAAGATTCATCAAGAAGTTGTTATAGATGTTGATGACTATTGCAAGGATCAGTAGGGTGTACCTGAAGAATCTTCAGAGGTTCCGTCACAAAACCAGCCTTCTTTATCTGCTTATTGGACTTTTTTAAGTCTCTGATGCTGCTAAACTAACCCAACAGATGATGGCAGAAGAGAATGCACTCTCCACAGGAGGCAATTTTTCTGTAATCATTGAAGGATCTAAGCTTCCTCGAAAACTCCAATCTGCTCTGTCCCTTTCCACTCTTAACCCTAACCCCAACGCAATGTTGGACTCCATCAAAGCTGACTCAACAATTCTCTTCATGGTGTTCATAGAGGGGATCTGAAGATGCAAGTTGTGGAGAGAAATTTATCTCATGAACCTTCGCCAGTAATTCATGGCTGTGCATCAATACACAGTCTTTGTGTTTGAAGTTGGGTTTTGTGGTTGGGTTTTGGGGCAAATGTTACAGGTCCTGGGTGTCAGAACTGCTGTAACAGAGTTGACACAATCTGAAGAGAAAATAAACCAGGAGTCAGCAATGACGACCAGCGCTGTTGTTAACATCCAGATTGCGTTTGAGACAAACCGGAAGTCCATCCCAGAACCAACCTGAGAGCAACGCCCCCCAAACAAAGGTTCCGCTTCGTCATTACTGCTCCTGTCCCCACCTCAGGAAAGCACTACAAATACACACAGATTAACATGCCGAACTGCAAATGATAAAAAAACAAAAACAAAATACTGTGGTGGCATTTTTAGATCCACCACACAAAGGTTGGGTTCATAAGAGACCATCATTCGATGAATTCAGTTAATCAATCCATCAGTATTGATCCCAAAGGGAAATGAACCAGAAAAATTTCTGCAGCCAGAATCTTCTTCATTTCAGCATGAAAATCAGCAATGCTCTGCATAAGATGGGACTTTAGTTCCATTAAAAATAATATAGTAATGGTTTATTGTCTTTGTATCTATATTAGAAACATAAAATAGAGGAAAACTGCTTTGGAATATATAATCAGTTAATTCCTGCTATGTGTGTATCAAGACATTTTCTAAAATGTCAGCAGTATTGTCTGTGCTCCAGTCTACCTTTAGTCTCCATGGTAACCAATGAGAGGTAATGTGCAGTATGTCCAGTCATTACTGCACTAAGTCAGATGTTCATCACAGGCAGACTTCCACTACTCGGCTAAAGCGGAGTCGACTTTTCATTTACCGCTTTTTCCAACTTTGAGAATGTTTAGTGCACTTAGTTTTTACTAAATTAATGTTTCTGGTTGATTTCTCAAGCACTTGGCTCTTTTAGAAATTATCAGTTGAATAAAGTTTGACATCTTGTGTTGAAGTTTTAGTTAATGACTTAAGAATTCTTCAAGCAGTTAGACATTTACTGTGGTTTGCAAAAGTATTCATACCCCTTGAACTTTTTCCATTTTTTGTCAAGCCAAGACCATGTCAAAACTTGATGAAACTTGGCGTACAAGAATAAAAGAACAAAATAAAATACAGGCAGTTAGAACAAGATATAAATTCAATGTGTAAGGCCATGTAAATTATAATATCAAAATTAGAATGAGGAAAATAAATACTGGAACACCCTGCGACTTTGCAAGTTCTCCCACTTAGAAATCATGGAGAGGTTTGAAGTTTTCATCTTGGGTGCTTGTCCACTGTGAGAGACATAATCTAAAACTCCAGAACCTTGATACGCTCTTCGTGGAGCCACTCCTTGGTTATCCTGGCTGTGTGCTTTGGGTCATTGCCATGTTGGAAGATCCAGCCACAAACAATGAGCATCTTCAATACTCTACCTGAGGGAAGGAGGTTGTTCCCTACAATCTCCCCCCAGTCGAGACATGGCCCCAGTCAGTGTAGTCGTCCTGTCCCATGTGCAGAAAAACACCCCAAAGTATGATGCTTCACAGTAGGGATGGTTTTTTGGGATGGTACTCATCATTCTTCGTCCTCCAAACACGGCGAGTGGGATTAAGACCAAAAAGTTCTATTTTGGTCTCATCTGACCATATAACTTTCTCCCAGGATTCCTCTGAATCATCCAAATGGTCATGATTCAGAGGATCATGATCCAGAAAGATTATAACCCTGAAAATTCAGGGTTATAATCTTTCAAGTGTTTGAGTTTTATTGCAGGGGGGAGTTTAATTTGAATTTAACTTGGCACTTTAGAAATTAACTTCCACTTGGTGTAGCATTAACTTACGCTAAGTAGTGTTGGTTAGTGGAACTACTGTTTAGGATTAGCGGCAGTTGGATGGAATGATGGCAACAGTGGTTGACGCCATCATGCCTCTGGTCTAAGGACATGTAGTGTGAAACACTTTGAGGTCTTCAGGACTTAAAGCTTTATACAATTTCATACTTTAGGGTTAACACAACTAACGTTTTAGTTTGTGGTGTCCCCACTGATCACATGATGTATGGCAGCAGATTAATCAAGTGAACTTTTTAGTTTTGTTGGAAATCAGAATTCTGGAAACCAAAAATTTTGTACCAACCTCAAATGGTAGAATCAAGATTGTTGGGAATCCGAACTCGCATCTGTGTTTGGTTTATGTAATTATTAATAATTGTAATCAATAACTTCTTGTCAATTAAATTATTAATGAAATTAAATATTCTTTAGTTTTTAACTTATGATTCCAGGAACTCTGGAGTTATAAGTCAAACTCATTCTTTCGCAAAGGAATGAATTCAGACCAGCAGAAGATCACTGACGCACTGATTTCTTATCAAGTCTGAGGATTTATTAATACAATAGCACAACTTTGCAGCTGAATTATTCAGCAAATAACCAATTTCTTTAACTGGCATGCAATTTAGCTAAAAGATAAAAAAGGATACTTTGGTCTACAGCACTGTTGTGCTGCATTTGTGGTTCTGCAAAATTGATTTTTCTTTTTTAGGGAGCTTTGAAGTTATTTTCCAGTATTCCATGTCATTTTGCCATAGTTTATTCATTAATCTGAATTGATTCCTATTTTATCGGCACGACACAATCAGCTCAAGCAAGCATACAAACGCTTGCTTGAGCTTTTGTATGTTTTTACAAAAGCATCCAAAAGCCTTATTTTAAACGCCTAATTCATGCCAAAAATGGAACAGTCTCACTTTGAATCGATTGTCAATCAGGCCAAAGCAAATATCCCAAAAGGCAAAAATTGATGGAACAAAAAAATGAAGAGGCCGCTTTTCTGTCAGTTCTCCAGTGAACACTGTGAAGGTTTTGAAATAAATGTTCCTAGCCAGCAGGTTAGAAGAAAGAGTCGGAGCTTTTGTGTCTCAGCTGCAGGTTGACTCTTATCTGATCACCCCAGACTTTTATGACAGAATGGATTTTGGTAGTGATGTCTTCAGCACAAGAAATGCTTAGGACTTAGTTCTGATCAGTTTTTGAATAACATTGGATCAGAACAGTTGTCATTCATTTAGTTCCACTCAGTTGTGGTAAAAAAAATATTCCCAATTCCATTTCTGCTTACCGAATCAGGGAAATAACATGCCGTTCCATGTTTCCCTCCAGGTCTGTGTGTTTTCAGGGCCTGACCTGATCTGACTATCTGTCTCACTCCTCTTCATGTTTGCTTGCTCCTGCAGAAGCCAGATGTATAAGTCACGCACCCAGAAGAGGACCGTGGTGAGGGATGCCCAGGGGAAGCATGTACACCTGGAACGTCTGGACGACACCCCGGACGCTCTGCAGCCCGATGCCCTGCAGCAGCACTTGCACCACCTGCTCCAAAGGTACTGTGAGGATGACCAGGAGGAGGAGGAAGACGAGGAAGAGGAGCAGGAGAGCCATGACTGAACCCTTACATCTTCCAGTGAAACTTTTGGTGACGTTCTTTCTCAGAGTCAGATGTTCTCCTCTCCAGTTGTTGGTTTGTAGATTTCAGAACATGATTTGTCTTTAACAATATTTATTTCCATTTGCTCTAATTTTGACCAAAGAAAGCACCTCTCAAAGTTTTAGATCTTTTATTTCATAGTGTTCAGCTGCTCCGACGTGTTGGAGGTTCAACTCACCAACATGATGTTCATGGGCCTCTTCTTCAAGAACTCTTGTAAAGATTTATACATAAAGAAGATGAAAGGAATCAACCCTAACCCTAGCATTTAATACAGCATGAAAACCTGCTGTACATGTCCTCATATATCTGGAGAAATTACTCATAAAATTACTGTTCCATGGAGATAATAAAATGGTGATGGTGTGTGTGTTTCAGAACCAAACCTATATGATCATAGCTTTTATCTTCATGCATCAACCCTTATTTCAGTTTAAGTCCACTGTGTCACATTGTAGCGTTGTAGAGCCTCGTCTGGCATGTGACTGTAAATAGTGTGTTTATTGAAAAAGAAAGTAGTGATGAGGAATGTGTCAACGCACCTGGAGCACCTCTCCCCACCCCTACGTTCTACTACCTATTACTGAGAACTGTTGCATGTTCTCAGCACTTAAAAGTTAGATTTCCAAACTTTTAACAGAGAAAAACCTAAGTCAGATTTCTCTGAAGACAAGTTTATGAAGAAACTGCTGAATGGAATGTTGAAGGGTTGTGTGAGGTAGTAATCAGTAGTCATTACTACATGTGCAGTAAAGTGATGTTTTATTAGCCTGGCCATCGCGTTTGATTCTTATTTCCCTTCAGTGCTCATTTTCATTTCTCCCATAGACCAATCAGCAAACAGCAGAAATAGTGACACTGTTTTAGAATTGTAGTCCATCTGTAGTTTCAGCAATGGCAGCGGAGGAAGAGAAGGAAGCCGTTCAGTCTGTCTTGATCAGCTTTCACATATTAACATTAACAGCTGTATTGTTCAGCTCTTCTCTCTTCACAGTGGAAGATGGTTGTTCACAGCACTAGCTGGAAAGCTTCTTAGCATAGAACTGACATATGTCACGGGCAAACATTAGCAGTTGGGTAAAATTGAAAACTTCAACACAGTCCAGGAAGCAATCGTGTCTCAATAGCCAGTCAAGAGCCTCTGAACGAAGCGAAGCATAGGTTTTTTGTTTTGTTTTTTTTACCAGGATAGCAATTTATCAACATGAGTTTGCTTAGAAAGACAAATTAACAAAAGCAAATAATTAACAAAGCAGATTTCAACTTCTAGGTTCTGGTGTTCCTTCAGTTTCTGCAAACCCAAGATGCTTAAACCCTGAGGAAACATCTTTAAATATAGGATTTTTAGAAATGCTTGTCTGAACTCGGATTTTAAATTCCTTCTATCTTGAAGGCAATGAAGAGGGCTGTGATTCCAACGAGCTGCAGGTAATCTGTTGACGTTCTCCTGAGTAGTCCTGGGCCAGGCTGTACACCTCACTCACCTCCAGCAGCCAGTCCAACAGTTTATGCAGCCTTTTACCTTATTTTACATAATATTATCACCACAACAGTGGGCAGTGGAATTCTTTAAAACTAGCTTTGTTGTTTTTGTCTTCTGCTTCTTTATCTGCTGTGTGTTTGGCGCCCCCCTCTGCCTGGGAGCATTACAGGCACCCTGCGACAAAATGCATGTTATGCATTGTTTTGAAGTGGACAGCAGAGCAGACTCAGGAGGTTTGAATCAGGTTCTCTGAAGCAAGTTGAGCTCAGACGTCACTAGGCAACATTGTAATAATTATAAAATGTGATCCATTTCACTGCTTGCAAAGCTGAACATCTGCTTTTCTATAGAAAATAGTTACAAGCGGCTGGTATCAGTCCGACTGATCAGCTGAGACTCGTTTTTCAATCTATATAATCATGCTACAGGTAGCAGCAGAGGGACGTAGGGGGCTAAATTGTTAGTTTGACACTAAATAGATTTAATTTTGACTGAAGAACAGTTTTGATTTTAGATGGTCTTCTTTATATCAGCTTTATTTATTTGATTGTCCTGAAATGGCCTTTGTGACCTTCTTAGGTCACAAAGGTGAGGCACTGTTTGTTCATTCAAAAAGCAGCCGATGTCCAGGCTCTTTCCAACACTCCTGCATGTCATCACAAATCTTTCCTTTCTTATTTATTCCCATCATTTTTAGACGTGCAGCGCCTTGAGCTGACAGTGTGTGTTTGGATGTGTGTTTGAAAGGGTTCAAAAGCTGAATGTAAATACTGAAAATTGACATGGTGTGTTTTTCGTGCTCTGGCTATTTAGTTTTGTTGACCAGACTGATTAGGTGCAGTTTTCACTTCATGTTTTACTTTACCACTGAGTGTGATAGAATGGCAGAACAAAACTTGGTGTCCAAAGCAACTTGATAGAAGCATCTTGTTTCCATGGTGATCTCAATATATCCATATTAACAATGCAAGTATCTATGCGGGCATGTATGACTGAATTATTCTTAAAATAAATGCACCTGAAACGTCAAAAGGCATAGCAGCTGCAGTGTGTACGTGGCAAAACAATAAACTGTACGTGTGCCCAACAGGAAGTGATGTCATTATTTTTTAACAGCAGGATGCAGGTCATTATAGAAAGAAATTTACTTCTTTAAATGTTATCCACTCTTATGACAGAAAAGTACTAGAAAGGTCTGAATTATATTTTGTTTCTAATTGATGAGCATTCAACTTGACATATTTCCATTTTGTAAGACTGGAAGTCTGACCTGCCAATTCCAATTTTGGCAAATACAAGGGTGTGTGGAGGGACGTGTTTTAGAGCTTCTGCTCACTCACTAATCTGTTAAGTGGTAAAAGCCACAGGGAACAAGTTAAATATATGAATATG